TGTGTGTGTGTGTGTGTGTGTGTGTGTGTGTGTGTGTGTGTGTGTGTGTGTGTGTGTGTGTGTGTGTGTGTGTGTGAGAGAGAGTGTCTGAATGTTGTTTTTTTTTTTTTTTTAACTTTAGCTATGTGTCTGCTTGTGCTATGAATGCGTGTGACGTCATAAGTAGGACGTTCTCAAGGCCAACTGGCTGGTGCCAATGCCACTCCGCCAAAGAAGAAGAAAAAAGAGAAGAAGAAAGAAAAAGACAATTTAATGGTCCTAAAATAGGGGCGGCAGGCTGTAATTTAGCAATGACGGAAGCGCATTTAAAATAACGATGACAGAGTGACGGACTGACGATGACAGATTTGCTGGCCTTGAAACAATGACTGACTGATGATGACGGACGGGTGGCTTGGCTGCTGGCGAATGATGAATGATGGAACGGCAAAATTTACTGACGCGCTCACCTAACACGTGATCTGTCATTTTTGTTTGAGTGCATAGGCTATGTTTTTGCATGTGATGCACTGTACAAGTATTAGTGTGCAGGTCATAAAGGCAAGCTCACAAATAGAAATGATGATGAGTATAGGTATTACTGTGTAGATATTGTTTGTGGACCTTTTAGCTCGGGGAAATCCTTGTTTCAACTGTCTTGGCTGGAATGTTGCCTGCAAGGCTCCTTTAAAGTGTTTGGGTCTAAATGCCATGTCTGCTACACCCCATGAAACTGTCTTAATCCACTTTTTCCCCTTGGTTTTATTGCTGCTGGAGAAAGCATGAGGGCTATGGCAGGGCCCCAGCCCGAGGCCTCTATCCCCATTCCACACACCCCATAAGTCAGTCACAGATAATTAAATAGGAGTTATTTACACTCGTTTTCCCTTCTCTGGCTCTCTGGCACTTTTATCATTTCTCTCTCTTTCTCTTTGTAGCGTCCAAAATCCAGACTCTGACAGTGTCTGGCTGACACCAGTGAATGCCTCAAGAAGTATAATCGTTTGGGTGGGGGGGCGGGGGAGGGGAGAAAAGAAACAGCACTATTATGAGCGCATGTCACTGAACAATCACAAGGATCTACGCACAACGCTAATCTCCACATGTGGCACAAAATGTCTTGGCTTGACCAAGTACGGTGCAAAGATGAGCAGCTTTTCATGCGACAGGCTCGAAGGATTCAACTGCCTCATGTCGGTGTTACACACACACACACACACACACACACACACACACACACACACACACACACACACACACACATACATACATATATATATATATATATATATATATATATATATATACACACACACACACACACACACACTGTGGAGTCAGGCAAACAGCAGCCTTTCAACACCAGGATGAATTAGGGCCCACCACAGAGCTATGGCGTCCATTACAAGCCTCAGCTGCTCTATAAATCTTAGGATCACAGGGACATGGCGGGTCCGGCCCTCCTCACTCCTCGTGAGCCTCATCAGCCTCATCCTGGGGGTTTTGTTTGGTCTCCGTCCCGGCCAAACACATTGCTTTGATACGGCCCTCGAAAAGCATGGAAATGGCCCGAGGACCCGAACATGCTGAGAATCCTCTTTAACCGAAAGGCTGTCCCCTTTTAAAACATCCACAACAGGAAACAGCCATCCGTCATCAACACGCCAAAACAGCTGTTACCAGCCTGCATGAAGGGCCACATGAAAGGAGTTCCTCCCTGTTGTTTGAGCCCTCCCCTTGTTTCATTCTCTCACTGCCTTTGTCTGGCTTTTCCCGATCCCCGCTTCTTTGGTCGACTTTTAAACACCTACCTCACCCCCTTCTCTTGCATGTGCAACCCCACCCACACTGCAGCCGCTCACCTTTTCACAGGGGGGTGACTACATGAGTCGGAAAGCTCACTCATTAACTGTCAGTCTGACGTTGTAAAAAGCGTGTTTGAAATTCACAGTAAGCTCTCAAAGTAAATCTCACTTTGAGAGTCACCTGTTTACTTGTCTCAACAAGGCAGCGACCGACAATGTGCGCACTAAATCTGGCATGCATGTTCTGCGCTCAAAGTGTCTTGGATCTCTGCAGGCCGCTGAGGCCTGTGTGGCGACGTGTGGGCGATGAATGAAGGCTAAGCCCAATGATGACAGGTTGAACAGTGACGATGTTGAGTGACAACCAAGTGCCGCTGCCTTGCCTCTCAGCTGCCGATAAACAGTCACTGCTTTTATAATAAAGAGGTGTCTCAACCACAAGGATTCTGTTTGTGAGATAATGTCAAACAATTTTACATGTAAAGAGCTCAAAGCAAAGGTGATGATTCATGGCGCTATTTCGAAACTGAATTTGGATCTGTGGGTGAATTAGCAAGAATAGAAGTCCACTAAAAGATCTGCTTGTTCTTTGAGGGAAATGAATGGCAGTTCTTCTTTATGTTTATTTTATGAAAGCTGAAAAAGGAAGTGGGAGCCATTAAACCACTAAATGGGAGATTTGGGAGTGTGGAGAGATTCACTACTACAACAAAAGAAAGTTGAATCACGAAGATTTGCTGGAATGCATTTGGTGAATTAAAGACTTGAAGGCATCTTGCTATATTAATTTCCCAGATTTGTCAGAATTAATCAAATACAGGGCTTGATAAGATACTGAATATAAAGTGTGGTACAAAGCAGTCTATAGGGCCACAGTTAATAGACCAATATATGTGTAAAATTGAAAGGAAAAGGTCATCAAGTTATGATGATAAAGTTGCACTGTTGAAAGAATAACTCTTGAATGTCAGATATTATTCTAGTCATAATTGTATGACAATAACGCTCCCGCACAATCCTGAACATGGCAGTCTCGATGTAGAAATGATGAATCTGAAGTGCTTCCATTAAAATCATGATCGTTGAGGGATTTCTGTCTTGACACAAATGACTGCTCACTCTTAAACTGCTTATGACATTTTTGAAGGCGGAGTGGGGTCAATTTCAAGTTTGTCACGCTTGTCATGTAGTATTAAAGGACGAGATCCTTCCTGAAGCATCACGAGATTTTTTTTTCAACTTTTTTAACTTGTAAAATTGCTTTTATAGCATCCTTCACTCGTGCCTTTGAGAGTTTACCGCTTAGGTACTGGGGGGGAAATTATACCGATGGTATGTTGAGGTCACGCGTTCAGCATGTGGGTGAGGCCATGAGCCAAACCACGCCTCTATTGAGCAACGGAGCTCTGTGATTGGGCGGCGGTTGCCTGCTTCGAAATAGCAGCCCTCCCCTCGGAGATGTGCAGGAAGTCGGAAAGAGACCAGCCAGAGCGGTCAGACGGAAGCAGGCAAGTCGCGGCGCCTTCTCTCACTTTTTTTTGCTCCCCGGGAATATTCGTGACGCAAGTGTCTCTACGCGGTGGTTTTACATTTGGAGAACTGGATCGAGGAATATTCAACCTAGCTAGAGACAGTGAAGAGCCTGTTAAAGGATGTCATTTATTTCTCTGTAGACATTGCTTGGTCCCGCACTGCGCACAAGCCTTATTTGGATTATCGAATTCTCTTCGGATGAATTTGATCATCATGAACGGATCTGGTAAATGATTTTTAGTTCGGTGTCCACAAATTACTATCCGCGTTCCTTTACGCGTCTGGACCCCGATGAGAGATCCGACCAGTGGTTCCAGATCGTTTTTACGCACCAAGTCCCGGGATCGTAACGTCACCAGTGGTGGTCCTCGCCGAACAGGAGTGGAGAACCCGTCCGTGTGCAGAGACAAGTCTCCGTTAGACCCGTCACGTCAGGCCAAAAGGCTCCCCATCAGGATTGTTAAAATGTTGACGGCGCACAGCGGCCACTTGCTCCACCCGGAGTACCTTCAACCCCTTCAGTCCGCACCAGTCAGCATCGAGGTAAGAGGCTGATACAAATAAAACAAAAACGAAATTATTTCATAACCCCAATCGGAGGCTATACAATTTGTCCAAAAGCAATAAAACAAAGTCTATAATATAGTATAATAAAATGGAAACAGTGCAAATTAGCGTGGTCGGTGAACTGTATCAAATTCATGAGTAAGTATAATTTTAAAAGGAATGTGTTTGTGGTTAAATTAATAAATAAAAGAAGGTAATTTTCCTTTTTTTCATGGTCCATGATTCATTTTATTTGCTTTATTTCCTCATGTATGTTTTCAGAAATTATACAAAATGAGCTGGTCTGAACTCCTCTATTGTTAATTTCTGTTATGATACACCTTAACTGTGCAGTGCAGTTTGAATAATGTGACACAAAAAGTCTTAATATCATTAAACATTGTGTTTATTTTCTTTCCTTAGCTGGATGCCAAAAAGAGTCCATTAGCTTTGCTGGCTCAGACATGCTCTCAAATTGGCAAACCGGACCCCCCCTCCTCTTCCAAGCTGGCCTCCCTCTCCTCAGGCAGTTTGGGAGACAAAGAGTCCACAAACCGATCATCCAAGCCTGGAGAGCAGCACCAGTCCTCGGAGGACAAGTCCAGCTTCAAACCTTACTCCAAGTCATCGGGCGACTGTCGTAAAGACGTTCAAGTGTCCAAGGGGTCTGCAGATAAAACGTTCAGGGTGGCCAGTGGAAGCTTGAGTGGTGGCAGTGTTTCTTGTCCATCTTTTCCACCCCATTCCAAATCACCAAGCTCCCCTCAGCTCCACACGCAGAGCCAGCCTCATATACAAAGCCATTCCCCATCCACACAACCACTTCCGCACTCACAGGCCTCACACATGGACAACAAGCCCGCCAGTTTGGAGCACTCCAGCTCGGACGTTAACAGTGGAGAAAAAAAAGACTCAGACACAGCTAAGTCAGGAATGGACGGGGCTCAGTTGGCCAACTCCAGCCACATACGGGCCAGCGCCAACTCCAGTAATGCCAGCTCTGCTAGTAGCCCGCGGCCTGAGAGCAAGGCCGACACACAGGCCTCTCAGGGTAACCTGGTTTCTGGCCACATCGCACCAGTGTCCCCTTTTAAACCAGGACATTCTGTTTTTCCTTTGCCTCCTGCTTCTATGGGCTACCATGGCTCCATCGTGGGAGCCTATGCAGGTTACCCCTCACAGTTTGTTCCTGGTTTGGACCCTACCAAGTCGAGTCTGGGTTTAGGACTTCCAGGTAAACACCCCAGTTCCAGTCCGCTCACCGGAGCCTCTTCTCCGTCCTTGATGCAGGGCTTGTGTCGGGACCCTTATTGTTTGACTTACCCTAATGCACCTCATTTGGGAGGAAGTAACTGTTCCACCTGTGTCCATGACCCCTCAAGTCTCAAGTCCAGTTTCCCTCTGGTCTACCCTTCGCACCACCTGCACTCCTTGCACTCTAGCGCCTTGTCTTCCAGCAGCACTCCCTCTCTCTCGCACCCGCTCTACACTTACGGTTTCATGCTCCCCAATGAACCATTGCCCCATGCCTGTAACTGGGTGTCCGTCGGAGGTCCCTGTGACAAGAGATTTGCCACTTCAGAGGAGCTCCTAGCCCATTTGCGTACCCACACAGCTTTACCTGGGATGGTGGAGAGTAAACTCTTGTCGGCGTACCCTTCATCAATTTCATCGACGGCCTCCTGCCATCTTCATCTCCCACCACACAGCAGCCCAGGCTCCCTGCCCAGCTCCTTCTCTCTTCGAGGGTCCCCTGGCTTGGGCCTGGCCCGCTACCACCCCTATGGCAAATCCCACCTGCCTGGAGCACCTGGCCTTCCCATGCCATCCATACCCTCGTCTTCAGCGTACTACTCCCCCTATGCTCTCTACAGTCAGAGACTGGGCTCAGCCTCAGCCCTTGGATACCCGTGATATCACAAATAGCAGTGACATTCACGGACTGCGGGAACCAGCTTGAACTCTCCGGAGCAAACCCGAAGATAGACTGCTCAGAGAGGAAGCTTCAGCAAGTCAGGGCATCATTCCAGATGGTCAGCCTGTCAGGAATACCACCTGTTAGCTTCACAACTGCGACTAGTGGTGTCTGTAACACACACGGATTCAATAGACTTTATGCTATTCATGACACCAATAAGCAAACCTTGAAAATGATGAAATTATGTGTTTTCATCTCTCTTGATTTTGTTATTTGTATCCTTTTTTTTTTTCAGAAATGTGTCATCCAAAACTGAAATTCTGTATTTATTTTGCCCCAAGCGCTTGCTTCAATCTGGGGGATTTTTTTTCCTTTTCAAAATAAACTGTTAATTGAAAATCAAGAATGGTTTAAGTATATTACCGTAATGACTATTACACGCTCTAAAAATAAAAGTCTTGCACCATGATGGACTATGATGCTTTATTTTGGAGTATGTCTTTAACTCTCTTAAAGTTTTCTTTATTCATATCTGAATGCTTATTCGGATTCTGCATGTTAATGAAAATTATTTTTATTTGTAAATAAGCAAAGATGTAATATTTTTTCAAGCCTATGTGTGGCGCATTAAATTGTGCTCACAAATGGTACAAATATAAGGTGACAGAGGTTAAATCTGTTCATGACTGTAATATTCAACCAACTTGGGAAAGTATTATTTTATTAAATAAATGATACTTGATTGCATTTGACTTGTTTTCCCTCATTCTTCAGTATGTTTATTCACTATAAGACGCTGTTGAGCACTCAGTCTTCATTGCACCTAACTCAGTCTCTTCATAATTCCAGTTGTTCTGTCTGGGGCTGTTTTTAATATTTCATGGCTCATGTCAATTGACAGGGCAGTCCCAGAGAGGGCATCCTTGGTCACATTAGCCCTGATAGCTCTCCACTGAAGACTTCAATCTCTCCCCCTTCTCCCTCCATCACCTACATTGTTTTTGTTGCTATGAGTCAAGCTTTTAATTGCTGATTCCTGTTTGTCAGACCTCAAAACAGCCTTCTCAGCAGAGGGGATGGAAGGTTTGGGGTGGCCACTGGTTCACTTGGACTTCAATAATGACTTAAGGGAGGTGTCGACCCAGGATCACCTTACTCTCTGACAGATAGACCTGCAACACAAAGGCCATAGCTGACAAAGGGATGCAGTTATTAGAGAAATATTCATCAAAGTGCTGATGCCCCCTCTGGGGAAAATGGACTCCCTTACTGGACCTCGAACATGGAGGCATCCACTCTAAATTAAAGAGCCTTTTTGGTTTTTGTTTTGTTTTGCTTTTCTGCATGTCAGCAATACTGACACAATTCTTGTCAGGACACTAATTCAACAGGAAAGAGCTAGTCTATCTTCTATTAGAGTATTTGGGTGCTGATAATGTATCTGTGTCTCCACTCTATTTGGCTGACATGCTGTCGGTGGCACAGAGCAAAGAGTCTCCGCGGTGGCTATTGACCCCGACTCCCAGACTCCTCCACTCTTGCGGTTCATTAGCACTCCAGACAGGGAAAGGCAAGCACAGGTGTCACTTGACAGGACCATTAACAAAATGGATGACCCTCCCAAACCATATCCAGCCCTTGCCTCACCAGCAAGGTCACAGCGCCCTGATCACCAGTCTGGGTGGCTCTTTGGGACATTACACATTTTTTTTATTTAGAAAGTTAAGCAACCCATTCCACTTCAAAAGACGAGTCCATCTACACTCTCTTCCAGCTTCTGCCTCTGATTTGATGGAATTCTAAATATCGTGATGGTAAACTAGTGCAAAAATATTACATTTAGTGCTGTTGTGCATTTTTTGTATTCCTTTTCCCAAGTTCTCATAGTGATGACACTGTAAATACACTGGATTGTGTTGCCCCCTGTAGTTGTGTTGCAGAAGTACAAGGACACGTCGCATATTTGGGAATGTAGTAAAAATATGTACTGTAGATTATTATCTAGGTTTTAAAAAGGATTGTCACAAATTGTAGGTACATCTGACGAGCTGAGCTGGCATGAGATGCTTTACAGCAGAGGTCACAGAGAGGGGAGAACTTTCAATCATGTCTGGAGGTGGAATTAATTTCACTGTTGCCGGTTTGCACTCGTTCATCAAATGCCTCACTATTCTCCCTATTCCCTTGCTCATCAGTCTCCGCCATCTATCTCCCCCCACACACTCACTTGCAGCTGAGTCAACACCCACACACTCCATTTATGTTGCCTGTGTGGGGCTTGTGTGCTTGTGCAAGTATGTGTACTCAGCCTCGATCCTTTGTCCGCAGCAGTTGACATATGAGGCAGGACTCAGCATTTCTGTTGTGTTTAATATCATAAAACACCACCCCTCACTTTCAAAAACAAAATTACCTTTTTGACTGTTGTGACAGTGTCAGTGTAGTGTAAGTTCTTGTTCCATTTCTGATTGAAAATGGATTTACAATATTACAAACAACTGCCAGTTTAAGTATGTAAACACGATAGAATAACATAAGCAAATAATTAGCCTACTTGTTATTCCCACTTTTTTGTTTCTTTTGGAAGACATTCTCTGAGACTGGCCGCCACTAGGCCCCTGCTCACCCGCAATCCAAATCAGTGCAAGCTGAATAGAAAAGTGATGGATGTACAATACCATTCTCAAAGTGTTTCACTTAATATGAAGCTGTGAGACTGAGGTTGCTAGACAATAAAACAAAACAAAAAAAGACGATAATGTAAAACACTTCACCAATGTTGAGAAAGCATCACTGAAAAAAAAAACACTTAACAAAAGAATTGTGTGCCATATCCATGTCCATTTGCCCATCTGTATGTATGCAGATCCGTTCCTGGTTTAATGACATGACATACTGTATCTTTGGTTGTTATGAATAGATAAATGACACTAATTATCTAAATTCCTGTAGCCACATTTGCACCAAATTTAAATGTGTCTTCCTCTGGACAGTGCCACCCAACCACTAAATCTTCCTGTACATTGCGTAGCAACTAACAAAATATACCAAACTGCAAAAAACTCTCACCTTTCACACTTTCACTCTTGGCAAAGTAATAAATATATACTTCAATAACCTCTACCTGTTATAAAGGGTGAATGGTATCACCACGGTACCAGAAAAAGATTGATCGTCAAAATCAAAGACGTAACTGTGACAGATGGTGATGGAGAGGACTAATATTTTCCCCCGATGAGATGCCGAGACACTGCAGAGTGCCACTGTGAGGTCTTGAGCAGCCAGTTGACAGCGCTGGTGATTAATGACGACAGGGTGTGGAGCTGCTCTTCAATTAGAGCCAGCTCTTACTCAACTCACCAATGCTGCTGACAGCCAGGACAGAGCCAGAGAGAGAGAGAGAGAGAGAGAGAGAGAGAGAGAGAGAGAGAGAGAGAGAGAGAGAGAGAGAGAGAGAGAGAGAGAGAGAGAGAGACAGACAACCCCTATGTTTCACTATTCGTGTCTCTGAAACAAAACATTAACCTCAACTCCATGACTACCACCTCTGTGTTTAACGTCAGGATCCAGCACAGAGCTTTTGGCATCAGACAGTGACCACAGTGTTAAAGCGGGCCAGATGGCATGAACACATCCCTCGTCAGGCTCTGTCACACAAAGTCTGTTCTGTCGTGACCAAACTCTTCCAACTGCCCTCTTACAGTCCCAACAGCCTTTTGTCCTGCTGTCTTGTCCATGTCTTGCACCAAATATGCAGCGGTACCTTGCCTTACAAGTTTGATTCACTCCATAACCAAGCAATTTTTTTGTGTTGTTTTTAATTAAAAAAAAAAAATAGCACTGTCACATAATATACATGACAAGGGATATAAAAGACAAATTCTATAAAATATAAAAGAGAATGTAAAGAAATTAACTGTCTTTAATTACTGTCCGCCACAACATGGTCACGACACCCGCAACCGCTCCTCTTGTTGTCTGGTAGAGAGGGAAGAAATTTCATCTGTGCTGTATGTTGCACATACAGCGCATTTGACAATAAAGTTGTACTTGACTTGACTTGACAACCATGTACTCTGAGCTGAGTACCTTGAACATTTAATGGGTGTGGCCAAGAAACATGGCTCGTTTGTGTCTGTGTGAGCATCTGGATGATGTGCAGTTTTGACCTACTGTAGTTGCTTACAAGTGTTCTCATTTGTGTTTGACTGTTTTTCCCATACAATAAATGCCTAGTGGGATGCATGGGGTGTTCATGCGCCTGGCATCACATCCAGTGGTGTTGGGGCTGGCTAGTCCGAAAGGGCGAAAGGTGAAATAAGTAGCTTGCCAGTGTACCGTAGTTCACTCAAGTCAACCTCTCCTCCACGTGGTGCATCCTGGTAACTAGGTTCTCGCGGACATAGGCTAACGAGGCTCTGACTAGGGGAAGGAAAACCCCGAAAGAAAAACCTGCCGCGGAGGGCCAACAACCCGCCCGGTTCAACTACATTGTTACAGAAACCTTAGGAAACTCAAATACTAGATAGAGTTGACTGAGGCCTTATGTCCCAGACGGGACGAAGAGGACTGAATGAATGAATGAAATGCCTAGTAGTGCATTGGCGATGGTGACTTTTTTGTTTTTAAGGTAACAAGAGACAGGTTGTTGGAGGACGGGATAGGTGGAAGGGAGAAATGATTCTGTATGTCGGGTATGCACTGGTTGGCATTGTTATTTGGGTGTGGTTATGGCCAACAGTAATCCTTTTAATGTCATGAAGTGGTTTGTTGCATTCTGCAACACTCCAATATGTCACACAGTCAGATGTGAGTGCTACCACGACGCCACCTAAACATTCCTTTGTGACAATACACGCAACAGTATGACCCATTCTGACTCAAATCCGAAAATTCTGGTTCAGCGTTCGTTTTTAACCGCTAATTCGCTTCCCAATTCGACTAGTCACCGATTCGTAAACAGCCCTATATGTGCCCCATATACTATACGTGCGTGTGCGTGTGCGTGTGCGTGTGCGTGTGCGTGTGTGTGTGTGTGTGTGTGTGTGTGTGTGTGTGTGTGTGTGTGTGTGTGTGCGCGTGGGAATATATAGTATACAGCCATGGAAATAAAAGTAAGAAACCATGATTGTTTTTTTGCTGCTAAAGCTTTGCTTTACTCTTGAATGTCAATTTGGAATGTTACAACAACAACAACAAAATCTGTACAGTTAATAAAGACTTGTTGATGAAAACATGTCGAACCTATCTGCAACAATATGTCGATCTCCCTTCCCACTGTCATGTGGAATCACTATTTGATCCTCCGAGATCACCTGATAAGCATTCAGCCTGTGTAAATAATGCCAAATATGCTTTGCTTCAACAATGAAAACTCGGCTGTTGTGTTTGCTGCAAAATCCATTGATGTTTAACACATTATATCTATTCCCGCTGATGTACTGTAGGTTATAATATAGTGTACTGCTA